AAGCATGAATGCCGCGGCTTCTGTACGACGTGCTACTGCTGCCTGAAAGCACCTTGAACGGAGCATGCTTTGAATTCACGAAATTCCGGTCCTTTTGGGAAATACTTTCGCATCTGAGGCGTGACCTCCCGAGCCCGAACAAATCTAGATCCTCCGTGTTGTCCAACTGACTGTGCCCTCCCATTCTGCCTTGACCCCGACATGGTTCCAACCCACAGGCTTGCGAGACAGATGAGCCGATCAGGGAGAATTTGTCCGAGGAGGAGTACGCAGCAGCAGCGGCAGCTGCGCCGGGTGACGCGGCACCGGATGATGCCCGAGATGCTGCCTGATCTTGGAGTCCGACATCTCAGTCCGAGGCGGCGTGGAATCTGGACGTGATCCTTAGATCGTCTGAGGTGCCGGTTTGGTGCTGTGTGATCTCAGTCCGAGGCATGCACGCTGGACGTGATCTCTTTTATAAAATTGTTGGCAGGCTGCTACAGCAGCGTCTTGTCCATGCCGATAATGTTTTTGCAACGGACAAAGGTTGTCTTGCGAAGCCAAGCAGTTTTTGCAATCCTGTTTGTAATCTGCAGAATCAGAAGTGTGAAAGTGCCGCTGTATTATTGCTGAAGCCCAAGGCTATTTAGGAGGGGCCTCCTGGAGGAGGAGGCTTTAACAGCAGCACCTGTCCGAGGGAGCGCGTCTAGTGGCCATGACTCCCAAGAAGGCCGTGAACAAGCTCTCTGCGGTACAGCAAGCTGTGGACTTCTTGAAGCGGAGGAAGAGCCAGGTGCGCTCTTGGCCCGAGGGGTTTACGTGTGCCATGGCTCAGAAAGCTTCCTGGCTTTGAAGTCGCTTTTCAGAGCTGTGACAGAGAGAACTTCCTGAATAACTCGAGGTTGGCACCTTCTACTTTGCGTCCGAAGTCCAGCTGAGGGAGTCTGCCAAGCTCGTTTTGACAGAGGACCGCTCTAAGGGCTTGTCTTGCTTCGGCGCTGCCAGGATCAGAAGTCAGTCTGCTCGAGCATCGTGTTAGGAGTGTGGCGGTGCTCTGGACATCACGAGCCTCAAAGCAGGGCTGAACACGAGGACGCGTACAAGACTGCGTCCGAGGCAGCGAACTCTTTGCCGTTTAGCTTGGGTGCGAGGCTTTCAAGGCAGGGGGGAGGGTAATGAGGTATAGCGGTCACTGCTTTGAAAAGCATTTTTCCGAAGCCCCTGAGATACAAGGCTGGGAATGGCAAGGAAGCACGGCAGGTGGTGCGAATCTTGCGTAGAGTGAGTCCTTGAAACCGCTCTGCCAGGTCCGAACGAGCGGGTTCCTGCACAAGCGTGTTGTCCGAGAAGATCCGATCCTGAAGGAGGAGAAGCAGAACCCGAGGCCAAGACAGCGTTTGAGAATCGCACAACTTTATTCAGCATTCGATCAGTCATGTCGATCTGTCACCGAATGCGAATTTCCACAGTTGTCAATGCCTGAGGCTGTGAGGCTCCTGGGTGAGCAGCGTTTTCGTGTGGACTAGTTGTGGACGTGGCGGCAGGTCAACACGGGCCCACCCCAGTGCTTTCTGTTTTCTGACTGAGATTTCGGACATCATGAGACGCCCATCAAAAAGCCAGGCTGTTGGGAGTGGACCAGACCCCGACCCTCACAAAGCACCGTGGTGCCGCCCGAGCTTGGTACCAGCCCGAGCGGAAACAGCGTCTTACTTTGGTGGAGCTGGGTCGTCTGCGAGGCGATGGAGCTCGCTTGTCTTACAGATTCCACGATTCAGAATCAGAAGAGTGAGATCCTGTAGCTGTTTGCCAGGTGTGCCGGATCTGCTCACCATCGAGATGAAACAGTGCGGGGTGCCTCGCAACGGAGTGGTGAGCGGTGCATTTGGCAACGCCATTAGCCTAAATGTAATGGAACGTCTTCTCTGCCGGGTCCTACCAGCCTGTGGCCTTTCCGTGCCACTGGCAGACTTTTGGTCCGAGCTCGGACGAGACGTTCGCTCCAAGAAGGCTTGGCAGAAGATCACCCGCCGCAGGGTTCCATTGCGGAAATAGCTCAGACTCAGCATTGTGGAGAGTCGTTTGATTCAGACTGTGATTGTATCAGTGCCCGAACAGGCACCGGCTACTAACAGAAGTGGAGTCTGACCCGGGACAGCATACAGAGCATGCCTCAAAAGATGTCGAGGGGAGATGCTTTCTGTCCACGGCTGCCTTAGTTGCATGGGATTCATGGTACGCAAGTATGCAACAAAGCCAAATCTGTCTCTGATTTTTGGTATCGAGCCCGAACACAGCAGCTTCTTGAAGGCATCCTCGCCCAGCCGCCTCTTCGCCCCGGTGCCATGGCAGCTCCAACAGACTCTGCACAGGAGCGCAAGTCGGGCTCTGACCTCAGGATCAGATTTCTAATGAGGCTATGTACCTAAAATCTCTCGGCATTGTCAGCCGCAGGCAAGACCATCACGATGGCGGATGTGGCCGATGGCACTACTTGGACTTCGGTTCAGGCCGAGACCTTCTTGAAGGCATGCGTGCTGTGTCGCAAAGGATCGAAGATCGAGCTCGGGCTCATCCGGAAGCCGGAAGGGTTGGTTCTGGTTCGCGAAGAGCTCATGAATTTCACCCGAGCCTTGGAGAAGCTGTTGCGTCCGAGTAACGCGAGGCAGGAGCATGGGATGAGCCCTTTAACTGAGACTGTGATTGTCGGAGTGCCTGAACAGGCACCGGACGTTTACCACTATCAGAATCCTGACCGAGCCGGCGCATGGTCCGAAAGCCCACGTCATGGGACAGGGTTTGGTCTCTGTCTGTGTGACACAAAATCAATCGGTCTCGTTCTCGCCTGCTCTTGAACTTCGCAGGACACCACGAGGACGAGTACATGAGCGTGGTCTGGTCGGGGGGTATGCCCGATGGTGCATTGGAGGAGAAGAAGAACCAGGGCATTTGGGCGCACATGGATCCGACCGAGCCGGGCCAGTACCTGGACTCCTTCCACAAGGCAGGCTTTTATCTGTTATTCCTGTCGGAGAGTCTTCACGCCCGTTCTGCAATGCTTTGGTCAAGGGTTCCAGCCTGGTGGCCTTCGCGATATCCGCTAAGGTGTGGGATTCAGGCTTTCAATTTCGGATCGAGGAGGGATCGAGGAGACTTGCCTTTGGTTTACAATGACTGAGTTCTGGTCTGTTGCTGTCTGAGGAATGTCTGGGGCACGCGCCTTGAGATAGTCGGCTTAGGGCTAAAAGCACGGTTCTGAAGGGGTCAATGTTTGGGGGTGTGTTTGTACTAGTTTCGGTTGGGTTGGCGAGCTTTAGCAAGACAGCTGCTGAAGCTAAACATCAGATCCATGTTGGCAAGATTGGGCTCGGTGTTTGGTGGCGGATTGAGGTTTGGACCAGTTTCTGGAACACTTCTGAGAGATCAAGTTGGCATGTATGTGTGTTTCACTCTGGGTTTCACTTGGAGGTGCAGTGTAGGGTTGGGTGAAGAGGTCGGGTCAAGGCGGCATATATATATATATATAGTATATATCTATATATATATATGCATATTTTTCTCATGGCCTGCATTTCAAGTATTCCGAACTGCTGAGTCCGAGCTAGGGGCAGGACCCTTTCATTTCATTTATGACTCTCCATCGCCCAGCGAGTGGAATCGGTTACAAGATCAAATGGTGGCTGTCCATGGCTTCCACACTGCCTTTGACATGCACTATGAACACGGCAGGTTGCAACCTGGGCGAAGGAAGAAGGGATTACGGCATGTGGCGCTGCATGATGCACTCGGCCTGCATGCGGTCTTTGCCCACTGTGATAGCGCTGCATGATGTCTGTCCGAAGTACAGGTTAGAATGTCCCTTCGAGATGGAGACGTATCATGCAGTGCATTGCGTTGCAATCTGGTTGTTTTATCTTCAGTTGCACATGCATTCGGCCTGCATGCGGTCTTTGCCCGTTGTGATAGAGCGGCCATTCCATATCACACAATGCGACGGTCCGTTTGGCATGCAGCGAGTGCAGCGGTAAATCAGCATGAATGCCACGGCTTCTGTACGACATGCTACTGCTGCCTGAAAGCACCTTGAACGGAGCATGCTTTGAATTCGCGATTTTCCGGTCCTTTTGGGAAATACTTTCGCATCTGAGGCGTGACCTCCCGAGCCCGAACAAATCTAGATCTTCCGTGTTGTCCAACTGACTGTGCCCTCCCATTCTGCCCTGATCCCGACATGGCTCCGGCCCACAGGCTTGCGAGACAGATGGCAGACTTCCCTGGGTGTTCGAGAAGGGCGGGCCGCGTCTCTACGTGTATGGCACGAACATCATCCGCAAGGGCGATGCCGAGATTCCGACCGAGACTGCCGCGAAGCTGAAGAAGATGGGTCTCGCGAGCACCGGCACGGGCAAGAAGGTGGGCCGAAAAGAGCTTATGAACTTGAAGCTTCGCACGAGTACGGCAAGCTCAGTGTGGAGGAAGACAAGGAAGCCGGCGATTAAGGTGAAGAAGTTTCGGCTGAGATGCCCGAGGTGCAAAGCGATCATCGAGCCGATCAGGGAGAACCTGTCCGAGGAGGAGTACGCAGCAGCAGTGGCAGCTGCGTCCGAGGCACCGGATGCTGCCCGAGATGCTGCCTGATCTTGGAGTCCGACATCTCAGTCCGAGGCGGCGTGGAATCTGGACGTGATCCTTAAATCGTCGCAGGTGCCGGTTTGGCGCTGGATGTGTGATCTCAGTCCGAGCCATGCACGCTGGACGTGATTTCTTTTATATTGTCGGCAGGCTGCTACAGTAGCGTCTTGTCGATGCTGCTGTTGCTCTTGCAGAGGCCCACAACAACGGACAAAGGTTGTCTTGCGAAGCCAATCAGTTTTTGCAATCCTGTTTGTAATCTGCAGAATCAGAAGTGTGAAAGTGCCGCTGTAATATTGCCGAAGCCCGAGGCTGAGAGATTTTAGGAGGGAACTCATCGAGGAGGAGTTTTTGCAGCCGCACCTCCAGGGGAGTGCGGTGAGGCCATGGCTCCCAAGAAGCCCGTGAAGAAAGCTGCCAAGGCGGCAGCTGGCAAGGCGAAGGCAAAAGCTGAGGACAGCCTGGCTACGGCCGAGCCATCACACCCTGAGGACGCCAAGGCGGCACTCTCTGCGGTACAGCAGGCTGTGGACTACTTGAAGAAGAAGAAGCTATGGCAGTCCCTCAAGCCCACCAAGATGAGCCAGGTGCGACCTTGGCCCGAGGGGTTTACGGGCGCAATGGTGGAGAAGGCTTCCTGGCTTGAATTCGCTTTTGCGAGCTGTGACCAAGAGGACTTCAGATTTTTCACGATCAGAGCTGCATAAACTGAGGTTGCCACCTTCTCCGGCACGGTGGCTGACGTCAACTTCGACAACCTTGAACTTGCGTCCGAGGTACAACTGCGGGAGAGCGCGTTCTACTGGTTCGGCGAGGACAGAGAACAACCTCAGGCCCTGTTCGTCTCCGCAGCGGTCCACAGCGAAACGCAGAGGGGCGACTTGACTCTGACCGAGGACCACGCCAAACTGGCAGGACTGGTGCTCCTCTGGTCTGAGTCCGAGCGTGCGTCCGATGAGAAACGCTCCGCAGCTCTGAGAAAGATATGCTCGAGCATCGTCTTCGGCGTCTCCCGAGTGCAGGCTTCGGACATCACGAGCCACAAAGCAGTGCTGAACACCATCCAGCAAGGCGAGGACGCGTACAAGACTGCGTCCGAGGCAGCGAACTCGTTGCCGTTTGTCTTGGGTGCGAGGCTTACAAGGCGGGCTAGGGGATAATGAAGTATAGCGGTCGATGTCAAAATGCTTTGAAGTGCTAAAATTTAGACGCGGACTGGGCTTCACGAGGCTTCAGATGGCACTGTTCAAGGAGAACTCGGAGCAAGCCAAACAGAGGGACGTCTTCAACGCGCTTCAGACAATTCAGTGGTCGTCCGAGGAAGCAAAGGCAGGAATGTAGTAGGGTGCAATGTTACTACAAGGGTTCCAATCCAAGCAAAAGCGTGCACAGGTAGAAAATGAAGACAAAGTTGAGAAGCTTCTGACCCTGCACAAGAAGAGCGTCGCGGCCGGACTTCACGTCGCCCTCCAGAGCACTCAGATCGTCAGGGGGGTCAGAACGTGGCTCTCCAAGTGGGGGGTCGTGACACGAGTGCGACTTGGCTATCTCAGTCAAAAGTGAGCTCTGATGTGAATCTTACTACGCATGAAATTCGCCGCCCCAGGGCGACGGCACTGAAGACAACAGAGGAGTTCAGATTCGTGATGTGCTTCTACGTCAAGGCAGGAATGTTCGTGGCTCCTTATTATGCCCTTTTACTTTTGACCCGATACTTGCAGGAGCTGCGGCCGGACGCTTTGCCCGAGGGAGCCACTGCTGCAAGGATCAGCTTCCATTCTGGATACCCGGACTTGCGCAAGCTGACCCGTGACCAGATCCTGCAAGCCACATCAGCCTTGCACATGCGGTTTGTCACTGTGGAAAAGCTGTGCGACCTCAAGAACCCGTCCGACAGAAGTGATGTTGCAAACTTCTTGAGTTTGCTGAAGCAGGCCCTGGACCCGTTCAAGTGGGCTACTGCAGATTGGGCGGCTTTCTCGGCCTTTGCATCCGAGCCCTTCGTGACGGTGGCGAGCTTCGTGATGAAGATCATGGCTGGCGAGATGGACAAGACTTTCCAGGAAGCAGCAGGCAGTGCTGAAAAGGCGCGGACATTCACTAAATCGTCATTAGCTCTCATCAATGTCAGAGTGAAAAAGTTCAGTCTTGAATAGGGTCCCTGGTCTTCCTTGGAGGAACAGTACCCAGACCTCATGGCTGCCATCCGAGAGGTGTCGGACAAGTGGTCCATGGCCATGAATCCTGCGCCCTCTCCGCCACCGGAGCCGCAGGCGGAGACGCCGCCAAGAGCACGCAGTTTCCAGTGCCAGATGGAGGAGGAGGTCGACACTCCCAGCAAGCTGTCGCCCGAGCAGCTGCGAGAGAGGCAGCTTGCCGCAGCGGTGGAGGCCGGGAACGGAGAGGTAGGACAGTGTCAGCTCGATGTGCAGTGTGCTTAGTGCCTCTGCCACAGGAAGAGTGCGCATTCTATGTCCACTACGTTGTGTCCGACGTCCGGAGCGCCAGTGCGACCACCTTGGTCCGAGCTCTGTCCGATCATCGCCTCCTGAGCGGCGACAATGTGACAGGCGTGACGCTCTGGTACTTCGATCCGTCCTTGGTTTGTGAGAACCACCCCTATGCCCGAGTCAGCTCCAATATGTACACGAGAACACCTGTGTTCGACAAGTGTGCCCTCTCAACGTTTTTGGAGAGTTACGACCGAGTCGCCAGAGAGGAGGTGGGCACATGACATGAGCATGGCACAAGTCCGAGTTGCGAGAGCGTAAACCCACTAAACCCTACCTAAACCATAACCTGCCAGGACGTGTACTTGACCCTGGATGCTGGCGTGCAGAAGGGGTCGCAGGAGATCAAAAAGGGGGTCGCCAAGGTCGAGGACCTCTGCCTTCAGCAGATTTTGCTTGTGCCCGAGCAATCCTGCCTCCAAGCTCGCAGAGACTACTTCAGGTCTGCGCAGGGCACTGAGAGTGAGTGTTGTGTGAGCAGAAGTAGACGGACTACTAGTGCATCGTTCAGAAGTTGCAATGCAATGTAACAATAAGGTCCGAGACAAAAATGCGAAACGGCGAAAGACCTCGACAGCTGGGGATCTCTCTTCTGTTGCAGGGCGGGAGACTATGTATTTTGGACGAAAATAGTGGACCGGTGGAAGCCCGAGATCACACCGCGTGGGTTTCGCCGGGTGCATCATCCACAGCTTCGCCTGCAACTGGGCCAAATTTCGCAGAGTCACAGAATCAACCTTCATTGTGTCATTGTGTTGGGAAGCCTTGCGGCTTGTCTGCAGGTCTTGAGCGCAGTTCCTCTGCCGAATCCGGCCGACTTGGTGCATGGAACTTGGGCCGAGAAGAAGACCGCCATTCCGGAAAAGCTGGGCAAGATGGTCTGCGGCGACGCGCCGGTTGAGGCTTCAGTTCATTGAGATGAGAAGAATGAGAATTTCAGCCGTCGCAGCCATTGCAGTTTCAGATTTCATTCCTGTGCAGGTCCTCACGTCCGAGGGCGCGGATGGCGAGAAGATGCCGCTGTTCTTTTTCGAGAAGTCCGAGGCGTTTTACAACATGGTGCTCCACGCAACTTTTAATCCAGATCGTGTGGTCCTGATGACCCCAGGCGAGGGAACCTTTGTGACCGAGGCAGTACGGCAGAGGACGTCCGTGATCTGCATCGTGGCGAACGAACAGCAGAAGGACATACTCATGGCCAACATCAAGAAGCGCCTCCGTGTCCGAGTCGCGAATGCCAACGACCGCCGCTTCTATCGCCCACCGATGACAATGAGTGTGACGCCGAGTGCGGCTTCGCCCGAGGCCCCGAGCTTGAGGCCGAGCACCCCAGCGGCCCCCGGTGAAGCCCCTGCTACGACAACGCCTACTACTACAACGGCAGTCCCGAAGGCATCGGCTACAACAGCGGCAGTCCCAGAGGCGAAGGCGAAGGCGAAGAGCACCGTGGAGTCGGACGACGACGGAGACTCATTGTCTGGCTCGTTGTCGCAGGAGGAGTCCTGATTTTTGTCCGAACGGTCCTCGGTCATTGACTGATTTTGGAAATAGTGAATGAAAATTTCAGCCACAATGGCAGAAGCAGTCCAGCAGCCGAGGACCGACCGATTTCTTGTGCAGCTGCGCACCTGATTCAGTTCGCGATGCAAAAGAATGCCCGACTGTTCTGCCTTTTCGTGCAGTGCTTTCCAGAATGATGATTGAGTCTCTGCATTCCTTGGGAGGCTGAAACGTGCCAGCTGCCAACCTTGCCCCGGCCTTACTCCAGGCACGCAGGCATTTCGCGTTCAGACACACATTGACAGCACCGCTCAGGTTTATCTACTTCGACAACGGACTCAAATCCGAGAAGGCCTGACGGCCTGTTTTGCCATACGAAGGATCACACAGACTGCCTAGCCTTCAACTCGAAATTCCTTGCAGCCTGGCTCAGTTCCCCAATCAATCATTAATCCTTCGCCCAAGCCAAAGATTACTACCACACACCCAGCCCAGTGCACAGCATGTTGAGCATTACATAAATTCCTGGGAACGTCACGGGCCATGGCCGAGCAAGCAGGCGCATGCATTGGCGACGCAGGCGGGCTGCTGAGATATTCAAAACAATGACCCAAGTCTGAGATGGCAAGCAATCAAACCCAGGAGGCCCTGCTGCGCGTGACCACTGCCTCCTTGCCACCCATCAAACGGAACTGGGCAGCGGGCAGGCAGAAGGCGGCGAGGATCACGTTTCTACGTGCAGGCTTGGTCATAGGAAGTGCGATTGGAGCCGGAATTGGAACATTTTTTCATGTGCTGTATTTCGGACTTTACTCCACTACTACTACTACTACTACTACTACTACTACTACTACTACTACTACTACTACTACTACTACTACTACTGCTACTACTAAGTACTACTACTACTGCTACTACTACTACAGTACTACTACTACTACTACTACTACTACTACTACCTACCTACCTACCTACCTACCTACCTACCTACCTACCTACCTACCTACCTACCTACCTACCTACTACTAGTACTACTGCTACTGGTGCTACTACCACTACTGATCGTGAAACACTGTGAGCTGGTCAACACCCAGGCACCCGATGCTTCTTCGAGGCAGGCTTCATGGGCCGATTGCGCAAGGGCTCGAAAAAACTCTGCAGCCCGAGTGAATCGCTCGCGTGGCGTTGCCGCTTCAGCTTCGATCACCCGATCACACGACGCTGAGCAGCCAGATATCATCATCCGCAGTGTGGTTCATTTAGTATTTATGTCCGAGAACTGAAATCCAAATGAGGAAGGAAAGAAAGCTGGTTGACCATGCGTCCGATTACTTGGGGTGGATGGGGCATCGGTTGTTGGATTTGCAACACTTTCAAAGTGCAGGGGCAACACGTCCGCAAATGGAGGCGGAGGGAGAGGTTGCAAAACGTGCGCAGGCAAACTTCACTTCGGAACCCTGCTTGCTGTTTCTTGGAACCGAGGTCGTGCTCTTTTGCCCGATTGACGGTGACAACACGGGACATGATGTCGCCTCATACCTTCGCTACGCACGCCAAGAGCAAAGGCCACGTCCGAGCATTGGAGGCCTTAGCGGCCGCAAACATCAAGCCCGAGGACGGGGTTTGTAAGCGAGGCATCGAGGCCATTGCCACAGGCATCTCGGTCGGTGTGCCGCGCATAGACAAATTTCGTCTGGCTGCCGCAGTGGTTGGTCGGCGAGACAGCTTCCGAGAAGCTCAGCCACAGTGGCCGTGTGTGACATAGAGGTCTTCGGAATGATCATTCCGGCTGCAACTAAGGATTTCAAATCCTATATGGAATGTCTTGGAGAACAGGACTTTTCGGAGCGAGTCTGCAAGCAGATGATTGCATCCATGTCGCGAGTGCTACATGGCCAAGATCTATGTGTTCTGGAGAAGGTCATTGACGTGTGTGTTTGTGTGTGCGGGTGTCTCTGCAGTCGCAACTGTAAGCAACTTCAGTACATGTCACAACTGAGTCGCTTGCTTGCTGCATGGAGGCCGAGCACTGCTGCATTGCGCTGGACGAACGAGACTCCTGCGTGCTTGTGGCGCGCGCATGTACTACACAGGCCAGGCAGACCCAGAATTAAATACCCCGCGTCGCAGCAATTCCTGCCTGTTCTGAGACATGCTATAATGAGCCTTCATCAGTGAGGACTCAAGCGCAACAAGTGGTTGCCACCGAGTGGACTCTACGACTGCCTTGTCGGCATCGCCCGAGACTATGGACCGGGGCCGGATACACGAACAGCACGGATGAGACGTTGTTGGTTGTACGGTTTTTTATAGCTCCCGAGTGTGTCTGGCAAAGATCTAAGGAGAACGTTGCCAAGGCGGTCATGGCGACCTTAAGGTCATTCTGCACTCGGAGAATCGGTCGCAGAGACGCTGGAGGAGTGAATGGGCCCGATGACAAAGTCGACGAGGACCTCTTTGAGCGGCTGAAGGACCCGGCAAAAGCCGAAAGTGGGGCAACATCACACTCTCCTTCTGCATATTTGGCATGTTTAAATTAATAATGAGGGATGTTAAACTTGTAAGGCCCGACTTCACGTTGCAGTCTGCGATGGTGGTCTCTCCGAGCAGCAGGCCATGCAGACTTTGGCGGCGTCCGAGGAGGGGCTTCCTGCACTCAAATTTGTCGTTCGTGACCGAGCGCACCGGATGCGAAGTGTTCAGAAGCAGACATGGGATGCACTCGCCGGCCTCTGCACTCTTCTCCCCATCCTCGTTACGTCCGAGGGAAGCGTCTGCCGGCAGCTCGAGAACTCCCGCAAGCTAGGGCTGCTGTGGGAGGCCTCTCAGAGAGCAAAGCCCTCCCAGTTCACTGGTGCATTACGCAGTTTTTCCTTCTGCATGCAACGTTTCGAGTCCGCGTCGATGCCTCTCTACAAGATCCTGCGGACGCTTCCCGCTTTGTACGAGTTCTTGGCCCGAGTATGCAAAGACGGGGACCTCGAGGACGAGAAGTGGGCCCGAAATGTGCTCGAGCAGCTCACCGGCACTGGGGCAGGCGCAGCCATCGTTCGATGTGGCATCGTGTCCGATGCCATGTTGACGTGCAACCGCTTCCTTAGACTTTGCGACAAGGCCGATGATGATGCTTGCCTGGCAGGTTCGCAGGCCGGGTTGTGTGACGGTCCGGTGTCCGTTTACGAGTAATAACAAACAGTGTCAGTCTTGGATTGGGGGTTATTGCTTCAGACGTCTGTCAGAATTGATTCATGGTGTTATAAGCGTCTCGGTCCTCATTATGTTGGAATTTAGTAATAATGATGAACTGACGACCTTTGAACCATCCTTTCTCAGATGTGCCACTCAGTTCTCGGAGACTGATAGAGGAGCACCCCTAATTTAAGACATAATTGCAACCCTGAGATTTCAAGACCTACGCACACGACAGGCAGCCGAGGTGATGCATTCCATGAAGCATCTCTTCTATGAAGGAGCTTTGCTCGAGGCCCAGGAGAGCATGACGCTCCAAGCCATGCGTACGATCCAGGAAGTGGGCTCTGTGCGAGTACTTGCCCGAAGAACTGCTGGGGCACGAGGTGCAAGGCCAGAGCACATACTGCCAGTATGGAACGACTCCAGCGAGCAAGCTATCAAGAAGGACATGAAGCGCGTGTACAAGATTGTTGATGCTTACTTTCGTTCCAACTTTCCGCACTGGGATTACATGAACTCGTTGAGCGCACTCGACCTTCACGCGAAGTTAAGTATGACTCAAAGAAAGAGTCTTGTAGCCAGAATGGCAAAGCAATGGGGCTTGAATGCTGACGCTTTGTGGCCCTTTGATCGCAGGTAATTTATGGTGTGTCTTCATTACCTGCTTGCCTTCTCAACCCTGCCCAGTCTGAGGAACCAGCTGGTGGGCAATGCGACCGAGACTGATGTGGGAAATGGTTTGTTTGCCCGAGCTTTGTGGCACGCTCGCAATCCCAGCCAACAGCCATCAAAGGATGCATGGGTTTGCGCCTTGTCCGAGTTGCGCAAAGGACAGGTGCAGCAAAGGCCCGATGCTGTCAAACTGGTGAAGCACGCCCTGACATTCATGACATCCACCTGCAATGTGGAGCGATGGTTGCACGAAATCGGTTTGACCGAGCACAAAAGCCGAGCACATCACCTGAATGTTTACCGGCTGGAGGATGCTGTCAAACTCAATGTGCAAAACATGAAAGGCAGGTGCTCGGTCATGCAGGCGGACTACTTGACCACAAGTGCGTCCGAGAGTCAGCAGCGAGGCGTGCGGTGGCAAGCATCGGATTTTGGGCTGCGAGCGCAAAGAGCTTATGCAGAGTACTTCGGAGACAGGGAGCTGCCAGCCCGAGACCTGTTGGCCATGCAAGATCGCAGTGACAAGCCGAGGCTGGCACCTTTGAGGGCGTCGTCCGAGAAGTCACTCAACAGCCAGCTGAAATGGCATAAGGAATCCTTGGATTCCGCTGTGTCCCAGCGATGCAAGAAGCCAAAGATCATGTCCGAGATGGTGGCGGCTGCAGAGGACTTTGCAAGCAGTGTCTCGGCCTGGACTTCCGATAGCTGGATGTAGTGTTATACTTACTTGTACAAAGGTATATAGCTGTGAGCCACTAACAGTTGCCAGAAAAAGGCATGGATTCCGGTGCCCAGCCATCCCAACCGGACCCGGAGCGGAAGCGAAACAACGCCGAGTCCGAGCACACCGCTGCCATTCCGCCCGAGACGGAGGAGGATGCCGTGGATATCATGATCAATGAAAAAGTGGCCGAGCAGAACGAGATTGGGAAGAAAAGGCGAGCGATACAGGTGGCGACTCCTGTTAGGTCCTTGGCGCCCTATGTGCACACCACCGGCGCTGTGATCGGCCCGATTTCTGGCAAAGCTGAAATCCCCGCCCGAGTGGTTGCTCCAGCTCCCGGCTCGACTATCATGGTGAAGCTGGCGGAAGGCGCGAGGTGGCCCGAGGCTGCAAGCTCCCGCTTTCGCATGACTACTGA